ATTTTTGCATTATTCCCTAAATGCACACTTTCACACTTTCGGTCCCAAGGGTGTGCATTTAGGGAGAGTTCACTGTACAATTTTTTTTAGACTAAGTGGATATAACACATCTAAGTGTGACGACAAATTTGTGAACTCATCGTCACTTGAGTGACGATACACATGCGATCTCGTCGTTACTTGAATGACGGTACGTCTAACCTAATTCGGGGAGTATTTTATAATCGAAATCGATTAGAAACATTAAATCGGTATACAAATTTTTTTAGACTAAGTGGAAATAACATATCTAAGTGTGACGACAAATAAATATATCTTGTTCGGATCTAGAGAGAGCTTGAAACGCTTCACGTAATTCAGCAAACTTCTCTCTCGGAATCATTTTCGAACAGCCACAATTGCAACCTATCTCCAAGAAACGCGTGGCCTTTTTATATTTATTCGAACCATTATAATTATAAATTTCCATATACGGGTAATCCTATATATAATTTTTATTACTTTTATAACAGTAATCTGCACGTGTGTTCAAATTTTCAACAATCAAGTTGATCAGACATTCTAAACTATTTGACATATCGATATACCTTGTAACTTCAGCGATGCGTAAATGCATAAAAAAATAACATGAAGACAAGACGATATCGAACACTTCAAGCAACTTGGAAGACATTAAAGTTGCACAGTATAAATTTAGTGTGGAGAGGAAATGTACTGTCAAATCACAGCAACTTGAATTCTAGAAAGGGGTATACTACTTGAGCCGTATCATATTAGATGGTACACTATCATGTTGCCACATGTGATTTTGGAGTGTTGGGTAGAGGTATACTGGTCTCGCCCGGATAGCAAGGGGGACATGAATTTAATACGACACACAATGTGCGGCAAAGTTGGTGATGTTTTGATTGCGCACATGGTCATATGATTCAAACGTTGATTTTTCATTATTCCTTAACAGGACGCGCTTGATGATATAGAGAAAAATAAATAACGTATTTAAATATTAATATGCAAATTGGCGAGGAAACAAGGAAACGCGAAAATCCTGCCACTTGTAACAGCAAATACTGTAGTGTTGTGTTAACATCTACTATAATGTGATGTGCCCTTTATTTTGTTTACTGGTATCTGTAATTCCAATTAATCGTGTAACTGTTATTAGCATTAGATTTATTAAATAATCTATAGCTACTTTTACAAGAACATTGCCAAATCTCATGTTCTCGCAAGTAATTTCAGCGCTAACTCTTCTTGGTCTTCAAGCGTCTCGGGCTCTTTCATTTCAACCACCTGCTTTTTCCATGGATTACTATTTGTGCGTCTGTATCACTATTACTACTCTCATCGCTATTCCCATGAATGTCATTATCAAATGTCCTCTTTAACCTCTTGTTCTCGAATCAAATCAGGAGAGATGCCCTGATCATCACCATGCAGAGCCAAAATGATGTCTTCGTTGTCTTTTCGCCTTATGATAATGTTCTTGTAATCATCAGAATACAGTGCATACCAGACATCCGATTCTAAAGTGGCAGGAATATTTGAATAGTGGCGAAAGTCAATGATCGCCCACTGCTTGCGAGGTATCTTATAATATGCACCTCCTTTTTCAAAGCATTTGATGTGATCATCCAATTTCTGTCCTTCTCGCATGAGTTCTACTCCCCATTCAAGACCGTCGTTAATGTAAAAATCCAGGTAACCTGTTACGCCATATACTGGACTGACGTCAGGGCTGATCATGTGTCCTTGTGGCATGGCTGTGCTTGCTGCCAAGTTCCATTCCATTTGCCATGTCCTCTCATATAACCGTGCACCCTCTCTCACACCATGGCCTAGAGAGCTCCTAAGGATGGAAGGTCTCATGCGTTGAATGCTGAGCTGTAAAAACACATCAAAATCTCCGTCTGACCGAGTAAGACTCATATTTGCAGTGTAAAGGTGCTGACCAAGGATGATACGAACGAGTGGGGCAGCGAATTGTAAACGACCACTGTCAGAGTCGCCTGCATGAGTGACAGACCAGAACGCTTGAACCTATTTGCAAGCTCTCGGGTGAGGGTATCTTTGAGATCTTTGGGAAAAGTAGAGTCCTTATCCATACGTGTAAATGCGTCATGTAGGAAATTTGTAGACATCTTTCGTGAGTTTCAGAGCTTTTATCCAATCGAACACACGTGTCTCCTGAAGAGCGGCGAAATAGCCAGGAGAAACCATATACGTAAGCATTTTTTCAGTCAATTTATTTTCAGGTTTATATTGGTTGTGCCGACAATAGTTCCGCAGGAGTTCTAAAGTGCGCATAATGAGACTGGCATGTCCATGAGTAGAGGTGAGTATAGCATTCGTTACATCTTCCTCAATGACAAACTCGAAGTCATGCTCTTCCAAAGCATTGTGTGTGAATTTACCAACTATGTGGTTAAATTCGGCATGAGTGAGGCGCAAGTCGTCCAAACCTAGTTTATCAGGAAAGTCCAAAGGCGTTTTTGAGCCTGCACCAGGACGATCTTCATACATACTTAGAAGGAGAATACATAAGGAGGGAAGAGTGGAGTTGGGGTAATATATTGGATGATCAAAACGGTCTTTCAAAAGAGCCCAGAAGAATTCAGCTTGATCATAGAGCACCTGACATTCGTCTATTATGATATCCGTTGGAGATGTGCGAGACAAAAGGGAAGAAAATGAATTTCGCGTAAATTGTTTGAAAAATTCGTCGAAACGGTTCAAGCCTTCCACAGAACGGGGATATCTCTCCAAAGTAGACATCGAAATGCACACAACATCATGTTTCTTGTTAATAAGGTAATTTTGGAGTAGTTTGGAGAGCGTTGTCTTGCCTGAAGACGGTGGGCTGCGCAGGAGATTAATCCCCCTATGACCGTACATTTTGTTATTGATTTCCTCCAGCCGAGCATCAGAAATGAAGGCGAATTGGTCGACGGCAACTTCATGAGGTGCGACAACATATTCAAAGCTACGCTTTGCTGGAATGGCTGAGACTGAGCAAACAAGTAACAATTAATGCATATTGAAACTCAATTGGAAAAAAAGGAACGTACACACTACTCTATGTCCCCAACGCCCGAGTCACAAAGTCGTTACCTGGTTGAGTCAAGAAAGTTATAAGGTAATTGATTTTCTCAACATCCATAGCACAGGTTGGAAGGACTTCCTGCACTTCGTTCTTTCTTTCCTTATGATTACTAAAGAAAGACCGTAGGGCGGTTCTTTCTTCAGTAGTGAAGTTGAGGCGAGAGATTTCTGTGTAAACAATACTAGTTGTGGGAGCAGACATTATTCTCAAGCAGACGTGCAGCGCGACAAGATCTAATACAATCAGACCTCCTTACAGTCACCAAGTCCGTTGCACCTCAAAGTGGTGATTGTATAGAGGTGTGACTGTAATTATAAAACCTCTATACAATCACCACCATAGTTAAAATAACGTGCAGTGATTATATTAATATAGAAAATTTTACGTTTTGTATTATAAAACTTAATAAAATAAAAATGTGAAACAATAGAGTAGTAATAGTAATAGTGATTATAAAATTCATTTATTGTTTATTAATTATCATTTTGTTAACTATTATTTAGAACAGCAT